CCATGCCTTGTCCGGACAGCGAGGACCGCTAACCAGCTGGCAGTCGATGCCAATCCCGGCGAAGGGGGCTGTCGCATTGGAGGGAGACCCCGCTGGCGGCTCGGCCATGCCTCATCCGGACAGCGAGGACCGCTAACCAGCTGGCAGTCGATGCCAATCCCGGCGAAGGGGGCTGTCGCATTGGAGGGAGACCCCGCTGGCGGCTCGGCCATGCCTCATCCGGACAGCGAGGACCGCTAACCAGCTGGCAGTCGGCGCCAATCCCGGCCGGCTATTTCTGGTCGCGAGCGGCGGCGGAGACGACGTGAGGACGCGACCTTGTGGCAGGCGGGCGCGGCGACCTGTCAGCTGGCGGCTCTCTGGCGGCGCTGGCTCGCCAGGTGCGCCACGGACGCCCCTCCGGCCGCCCGGCTGCCTGACGCCTCTGCCAGCCGAGGTAGGCGCTCTCTTGCGCGCCGCCGGTCGCTCGCAGGCTAGACCTAGCAGAGAGGTGCCTGACATTCGCTGAGAGAGGCTGGTTGGGCGTCCCCTGTTTCTGGCGGTGTGTGGCGACGCCAGAGGATGCCGCAGATCCAGACTGTAGCAGCCCGATCAGGGGCGGGCGGCACCCGCCACGCTGTGGGGCCAGGGCAGCGAAGCGGGAGAGGGCGGAAGGGCAGCTGACTGTAGGCCGCTGGCGGCGGCGTCGGGGCCCAGTGGCGACTGTGGAAGCCTCTCCTGGGATCCAGTGGCGACTGTGGAAGCCTCTCCTGGGATCCATCCGTCTCACGCTGACGCCAGCGAAGGCTTCCGAAGCGGGCGGCGGCTGGCGCACGAGCACTATCAGAACCGTCACCGCGCAGCACCACCGCATCGACGCCGTCACAGCACCAATGGCATCACCAATGTGGTGTCGCCAGCACAGTACCAACGGCACCACCAGGATGGTACGCCAGCGCCGTCACCAACATCCGCAGAACTGCGCCAAATTACAGCGGAGCACAACGCCGCAATTATTTTCGCCAGTAGCATCCCCCTTCCCCCTTCCGCATGCTCCGTGCTCGGGGGTAGGTCCGGCCGCCTCCCGCCTGGCAACAACTGAGCTTCTCGTAAAGGTGCAAACCAAGCTACGAACCGGGTTACATGACGGGGTTCCAGCTGGCTGTCGGTGGATCCCGTCTGTCTGGGCGTTGAAATACACGCATGACGTCAGAGCGAGGGTAAGTGGTGAAAGATCAGGAGACATGGTTCAGACGACGGATGCATTAGACGTCACCGAACCGCGGGTGGATGCAGGGACACGTGACCGACTGCACACAATCATCAGCATCGGTGTATGAGTTTCGCCGATGCATCAACGTTAAAGGTACGGCGTAATGTCTGGACAACTTCCGTTGCGCAGCGTCGGTATTTGTACAGGGCTGAGGTCGGCGTCGAGTCCCGGAGAAGGCGCGCCGTGTCGCACCGTGCACACTGCCTCCCAGACACGGACGCCTTTTGCCCTTTTCGGCTTTCCAGTATTGTTCGGCGTCGGCCAGTGCGTTCGAGACGCGCGAGGGGCCGCGAGCGCAGCACGTGCGGCTCTGCAGAAGGGCGTGCGGCCGTGCTCGGCTTCCGGCTGCGATTGGGGTCACGCGCCGATCGGCGCCGGTGGCGCGCATGGCGTCACCGGCGTCGCACGGCAGCGGCCGTCGGCTGGCGGCACACGTGCCGCACAATTACAGCCGGGTCTTGCATGCGGCTATTCCTTTGAAGAAGTTGGTCCGGGCCGTCTCGTCGCATGACGAAGGGACTGGTTGACTGTCGCCGTAGCTCTCAGCGGGCGGACCACCGTTGCACGGGACGAGGGGACTGGTTGACTGTCGCCGTAGCTCTCAGCGGGCGGACCACCGTTGCACGGGACGAGGGGACTGGTTGACTGTCGCCGTAGCTCCCAGCGGGCAGGCCACCGTTGCACGGGACGAAGGGACTGGTTGGCTGTCCCTGTAGCTCCCAGCGGGCGGGCCACCGTTGCGCGGGACGAAGGGACTGGTTGGCTGTCGCCGTAGCTCCCAGCGGGCGGGCCACCGTTACACGGGACGAAGGGACTGGTTGGCTGTCGCCGTAGCTCTCAGCGGGCGGGCCACCGTTACACGGGACGAAGGGACTGGTTGGCTGTCGCCGTAGCTCCCAGCGGGCGGACCACCGTTACACGGGACGAAGGGACTGGTTGGCTGTCGCCGTAGCTCTCAGCGGGCGGGCCACCGTTGCACGGGACGCTCCTGATCTGAGAGACGGGATGCACCGGGCGTCCGGCTGAGTGGCGACCACTCTGTGACGTGCCGCATCAGCTGAGCGCGAATTGTAGTCGCCTTGGCGTGACGGCGGCGCCGCGTCGTCGTCGGCTCCTGTGTCCGCCGGCACGGTGGCATTCGAAGTGGCCGCCCACATTCACGGCCGCTAGACCTCGATGATATCATTAATCTATGCTCTCTGCGTAGTACCCATAATTGAGGGTGAGCACCTGGGTGCTGAGTCCATTGTTCGCCTGGGAGGAACTGGGTCGTTCATGATTATACTGCCCCGCTGTGACAGGTTTGACGCGGTTTGGGATCATGAAACGGAGTCGTTTGTGGCGGATTTGGGGGAGAGGCACGGGCTTTCAGCTGACCATGACGCGCGCGGTCACCGCTGCTCCTCACGGGCTGCTCACCAGGAGAGGCCACAGGTTCGGTCACGCTGGCTCCGGTCTCCGACCGCAGCCGACCAGGGCGCCAGGTGGGTGTCAGACGCCCGCTCCAGGTGGTATCGCTCGGTCAGATCGCTTCTGGAGGTGACTGCCGGATGAGGGCGGCCTCCCCCCCCCCCTCCCCGCTTCCCCGAGTTCCGCGGCCGGTGGATCAATATCGCCTGTGCCGGTCATGGTCACTGCGACGGCGGTCGTCGACGCCCGGCGGCTGGTCCGCGCACCAGCCCTGTGGAGCCCGCTGCTGTCGACCCGGCCGGCGCCGGGCCTGCCGGCTGACCTGACCTGACCTGACGAGCGACGCCGACTCTGCGCCTTCAGTCGGCCGGCAGAGGCGTCGTTGCTGCCTGGCGGCGGCGGCGACGCGTGGTTCCGCCGGCACCCTATTTATTTGCACAGCGCCGACGCGGCGGGGTATTATCCCGGGCGTGCGTCGGCGGCGACGCGCCGCCCCGAAAATAGCCGGGCGGCGGCGCGGGTGGGCGCCGGCAGCGCGACCCGCCGGGGCTCGCGTCCGCCCCGCCGCCCCATATTGAGCGGGCCCGGCCGGCGCCGAGAGCGGCCCGGCCGGCGCCGGGTCGCCGCCCGGTCTGTGGCGCGTCCGGACCGCTGGCTGCCCGGCCAGGGCTTCCCGGCGGCCGGCGCGGCGGCCGGTGCCAGCGCCAGCACCGGTGGCTCGAGTGGCCGCCGCAGCTGGCTACGACACCGCTCCCGGTAATTGACCGCGACTAAAATAAACACGGCCTCGGCCGGACTAAGTAGCCTCGTCAGGAGGTGAAGCGGTGCAGTGCTGGACCGCTGCCGCGTGCTGTGCACGGCCGACGCCTAACACGTGTCCTGCTAACTGGCCCGGCCGGCCTGCGTGTCGGCCGCCCGTGGAGGTCGGTGGTGAGCGGGTCGGAGCCCGCCGACAGCCGTTACATGCGTCTGCATGGCCACATCCCGTGACGCGACCGCCGGCTTCTGTGGGTGAAAGTCTACAGCGACTGCGGTGCATCCTGTCCTGGCCACGATGGATGATGCCGTGACCCCAGCCCCGTACCAGGGGGCTTATTTTCTCGGCCGCCGCCGTGCACCCGTGTTTATTTGCGATGTCGCAAAGTGCGGGCTCCTGCGGGCGGCCGGTCGGCCCGTGGCCGCGCAGTGGCGGGCCGGTGCCGGCGGCGCAGCGTGGCGGCCTGCACGCCCCCGCGCCGCCCGGCCGCAGGTCATATCGCCGCCCAGATAGCCGGCGCTGTGTTGACTGAGCGCGGCCATTCGCCGGCGCTGGCGGGGCCGCACCGCTAGCCCGACACCGGCCCGGCGCTGACCGCGGCTGACCCGCCGCCGGCCGGCCGATCCGGCTCCGGTCCACCCCCGATCCACCGCAGACAGCTGCTGACCCGCCGATCCGGTCCCGATCCACAACAGACAGCTGCTGACCCACCGACCCGGCGCGGTCCACCCCCGACCCACCGCAGACAGCTGCTGACCCACCGACCCGGCGCGGTCCACCCCCGACCCACCGCAGACAGCTGCTGACCCGCCGATCCGGCTCCGATCCACAGCAGACAGCTGCTGACCCACCGATCCGGCTCCGGTCCACAACAGACAGCTGCTGACCCACCGATCCGGCTCCGGTCCACCCCCGATCCACTGCAGACAGCTGCCGACTCGCCGATCTGGCCCTGATCCACAGCAGACAGCTGCTGATCCCCGATCCGGCCCCGATCCACAGCAGGCAGCTGCTGAAGCATCTGATCCGCCGCTGACTGACGCTGACCACGCTATGATGGGGCTCCAAATCACCCCCCTCCCCCCAACCCGTTCCTGACCCGCCACTGACCCTGCTCTGTCCCGCTGCTGACCAGTGACTGGTCCAGGTCACACGAATGATTATTACCTGTCCGTCTTTCGCCGGACGCTGCTAGCCGGCCAATGTACACTTCGTTTGCACGGGACCCTCATAACCCTGCTGTCGTCTCCAGATAAATTTGTCGGATCGGCTGATGAAAGCAATGACCCAGCGCTGACCCGGTAGTGTAGGGCCGATCTGTGGCTGTTTCATAAAGGACCTAATGCTCGCTGGTCTGGCGTGTGCTGGCGGACTTCGGTGTGGGCGCCGGCACAGCGGCGCCCGCCGCCCACTCCCCCGCGATACGCAGCCAGCTGGCCGTGCCGGTGCGCTGCGTCAGAAGGCCCGCCTCCGCCCGGTCGTCTGTGGAGTGTGTGGAACTCTTACATGATCTCCGGTGACCGAACATATGACTGCCAACTGACCGGTCGCCTCCATGTGACCTGTTTGTGACCTTTGCAGCGCGGCCGGTCGTACAGCGTGTGAAATCCCTGCGACTATGTCGGGACGCCTTCGAGATTCTCAAAGTGATAGGGCGTGGTGCCTTCGGCGAAGTGTGCGTGGTCAAGATGCGCTCCACGGAAAAGGTCAGTGGCGTGAAATCGCGGCTGACGCTCGTGAGCAATGCACCACCTGGTGCCTGCTGTGTGATGAATCGATTTCGTTTTAATAGGACACGCCGTGTCAACACGTGAATCACGTGTTTTATTTCAAGCGCTGACTCCACCGCATCCGACCTTATGATGCTGGATCTAATGGTACGTTATGGGAAAGGCCCTTGACAAGCGGTGACGCGGGGGGCCCTGTGAATACTCGTGTTTGGAGACCGTTGCCACTGTACATGGGAAACTCCACTTGGGATATCCTTGGAAACCTGAGACCCTGCCAGCTTTTAGGGTTCATTTTAATGTAAACCCCTGTTTGGCGAGGAATTACTTTCTACGGGTTCAGCATGTGTATGTGGAGTCGATAAACGCCCTTGTTTGGACCAGAACTGGCATTGGGCGCAGCGTCGTAGTAACACGCAGTGTGTAGACACGGCATGTGGAACATAAGCATCGAATTACTGCTGGCTTCGACAGTGTCACCACGACCGCATTGTTTTTGGCTGACGTAGTGGTCTATGGGGCGCAGTTGTAAAGAACGTTGGCTGGCGTGAGATGTAATGCAGTGGGCGGAGGCAAGGCATGATGTATGCAATCAATGCATTAGGAACAGACACGAATGCCAAAAAGCAACTAACAACAACTTATCGATAGTGCCAGCAAGTCAGTCATTTTCCCTCGCTTCTGTCATATGGGGCTTTCAGTGTGTTACCGCGTCGCTGCAGGCGCCGGTGTTGATGAGCGGCTCCGGCCGCTCCTCCTCTCTGTGGCCACACTCCTCACGGCCCGCCTGTGAGTCTGTGCCGTCCGGGCCGCCGCTGTCGCCCACTGACCGACACCCGTCCGTCCCCAGGTGTACGCCATGAAGATCCTCAACAAGTGGGAGATGCTGAAGCGGGTGGAGACAGCGTGCTTCCAGGAGGAGCGCGACGTGCTGGTGTACGGCGACCGGCGCTGGATCACCGACCTGCACTACGCCTTCCAGGACGACAACAACCTGGTGAGTGGGGGCGCCCCGGCCCGGCGGTGACGCTGCACCCCAGCTGCGCGCTGTTTGACCTGGCGGCCGATATAGGCCGGCAGCCGGGCGCCGCGGCCGGCTGCCGGCCCGCCAGCCGACCCTATCTCTGACATCGGTGCCGCCGATGGGACGCGCTCCATTCACACGGACTCGTCCCGTCACCGCCGCCCGGCCGCGCAGGCGGGCTGGCCCGTGTCGCGTGGCCGCTGGCAGCCGTCACAGCCGACCAGCTCGGAGCTGAGGGCGACCGCGGTGCCGGTGTGCCGGTGCCTCCCCCTCCCCGCGATGCCCGGGGTGGCGCCGGTCGGGCCGGTGCGTGTGCCGGCGCGGCCCGGCCGCCTGTATTTAGCCGCTGTTTGACATTCGGCGGCGCGTGCCGATGGCGGCCACGATACGGCCGCGCGCCGCCGACGGATCCGGGCCAGCCGGACCCGGCGCTGCCGCGCGGCCGGCACGTCCGCCCCGCCATCTGCGGCGGTCCCGGCCCGGCCCGCTGCCAGCGGCCGCCGTGGCTGGCAGCGCCGCCGCCCGCCGGCGCCACGCCGGGCGTGCGCCGGAATTCGGAGCCCGGTGCGGCCCGCAAAAACGGCGCGTCGCGTCGGCGAGCGTCGCCGCGCACCGGCCGACGATCTGTCATTGTTGTCGACCGGCTCGAGCGCGTCACGGCGTGCCAAAGAGCGCCAGTTTGGTGGCGTCCGAGCGCCGCCGCTGCCAGCGCGAAGAGGCGACGCCGCTCGCCGCGACACGCCGCCGCCGGCTGTCGGGCCCGCGGCGGCCGCGCTGGAGGCCCCGGCACGGCGCCGGCGCCCTGAGCGTGTGGCTGACCCGTACCGAGCTCCAGGCGCCGCCGGGAAGGGCGCCTACGCCGGCTCGCCTCCCTCCTGTGCAGTGGGGAACTGGGGGAAGCACCGTCTCCTGTAGCGCGCCCAGCCGCGAGGCGCACGTCGCGCGCCTTTCTCATGGGACCTTGGAGCGGCCTCCCGTTTTCCTGTGTGATTTGGCGATGTTTTGTGTGCTGAACGTGTCATCGACTGCCACAGTCCGTCAAAGTGGGACGGCCGGCGTTCGCACGCGACGCTGCGCCACCGGGGCGGCTCGGCGCCCCCGCCGGCGCGGTCCGGGGCTGTCGGAGGCGCGGCCGGCCGGCCGCAGAGCGGCCCACGCAGGTGTGGCCGCCGCTGCCCGAGGTGAACGGTCGACCGCGCCGCACGTGCCGCCGCCGCCTGCCGACGGCCGACGGCCGGCTGAAATATGCCGGCCGACGAGCGCTGCCCGACGTCGGGGACGGGGCGCCGGAGCGCCGACGGACGACAGACGGCAGCGACGAGTCGACTGGAAACGGGCCGAATCGACCGAGACCGGCCACGGGTGGCATTCGGGGAGCTGGACGGATGGCTGGGTTGGGGGCAAAGAGCAATAAAGCTCTGTTAGATCCGGGCTAATGTAACCGTTTTTTTTTTTCTGGAACGTGGTCTAGTTTGCGATGGAAAGGAGATTAGTTCCTAATGTTTCATGTTGCATATAACTGCTGAAAAACTTCTTTTTGGTCATAAATTCCTTGGCGGAGGTTTGTTATGCCTCCAGGTTTTCGGAGGCCTCAGCATGGTTAGCCTCGCGTGAAATATGTCCCGGTAAGGTGTTGCTGTTTCTTCACTGGTCTTGACTGCACTCCTGCTGAACGTCGCACCAGTCGACGGCGTGCCGGATGGGGACCCGGGCGCCTGTCGCTGCGGGTCCTCGGCCTCTGTGCCGGCCGACGCAGCTCGCGCCGCGTCCCCGGACGCACGTCTCGGCCGGGCCTCTGGAGGACTGGCCCGGACAGCGAGGCATGCGGCGTGTTTCGAACCACGCGGCGCTGACAGCTTTCGTGGCTGAAACAGAAGCTTAGGGGTGACTTAAGCAGGGTTTTGGTGCACAAAAAGTACCAATGACGCGTCGTTCTGAGCTCCTTTTGTAGTTTCGCTGGCGTGGCTTTGTTCAAAGCCGTGTCTGCTCGGTTGAACGAGCGGACTGATCCCGCCGACTGGACACATTTACGATGCTGTGGTTGCTCGCCAGCGGAGGAGCGGCATTGTCGGTTAGAAGCGGTCATTCTCTTCTTTTCGCCGCACCTCGCCATGCGCCGGCGATTGGCGAAGTCCTGTCTGTAGGCGGCAGGAGGCGCGTGCGCGGCGTGTGCGGCAGAGGTGCGGAGACCGCAGGCGGCCCGGGTAGTCGGCGCCGGCACCATGAGGCCCGGGTCGCCGCCGCCGCGTTCGGCCCGGCCCGTTATGAGGCGCGGCTGACGCGACGCGCCCGACGCCGGGCTCATGGCGCGCTGTTTGTTTATCAGCTCGCTGCGTTCATGCTTACGTGCATGGCGTGCACGGCCGGCCTGCGCCGGCTCACGGGCCGCCGCCGCCGGCGGGCTGGCCGGAGCTGGGGGCGGCACCGCCACCGGCGCATTGGCGACATTCCTCCCGGGAGCGTCGCTGGCACCAACTGCGGCGCCGTGGGAAGGTGGCGCCAGCGCTGTTGTCGCAGGCTGTTGGGTGGAGTGGAGCGCGGCGATGCGGGCCGTTGAGACAGTAATCTGGCCTTGAGGGAGATATCATGGCGTGTTTTATATGGCCGAGGTCATTTTATTAGACCGTTGCAGCACGGTATCGTTTATCTGCCAAAAAGGGACGAGTTGCCTGTGTTCTACTTAGACTATTTAGTGAATATGTGTTCGATCCAACCGGTGCGGCACCAGTGTGCTCCACTTTTGTTCGTGCTTGTCCCTCTGCCGGGCGCGCCTTCTGTATATTTTAGGGGTCGACCTTACCATGGCAGCCAGCCTTTACAGGTCTATGAGTATCGCATAGATAATCCCGTTGTCCGCTCTCCCTCCAATTTTGTTGGCAAAACTCCGCTACTTTCGCCACCGATTATTTTGATGTTGTATTTGTACATTTTCGTTGTATTTAATGTTGTATTTGACCCATTTTTGCGTACGTTTTTCTGTGTGCTCCAGTTATGAAGGACAGTAGTGTGCGGCCCTGACCGTCCAGTTTCCTGAGGCAATGCTCTGAAATTTCCAACCTCAAAGAACGTCTGATGTACTTGGAGATGCCTGCAGAAGCTTGACCCAGTCATCACCAACCCGACGCCGGGTTGGTGATGTAACCGGCCGCGTCGCGCGTCCCGGCAGTACCTGGTGATGGACTACTACTGCGGCGGCGACCTGCTGACGCTGCTGGCCAAGTTCGCCGACGGCATCCCAGAGAGCATGGCCAAGTTCTACATCACCGAGATGGTGCTGGCCATCGACTCGATCCACCGGCTGCGCTACGTGCACCGCGACATCAAGCCGGACAACGTGCTGCTCGACGCCAACGGCCACATCCGGCTGGCCGACTTCGGCTCCTGCCTGCGGCTCAGCGAGGACGGCACCGTGCAGAGCAACGTGGCTGTCGGCACGCCCGACTACATCAGCCCCGAGATACTGCGGGTACGAGCCGTCGTCGCCGCGGACGGGGCGCGGCTCTGGGCACAGGTTCACCGCCGATCGCCGGCGCTGGGGGGCGGTACACGCTCTGGGCACGGGCTCACCGTCGGCCGCCGGCGCTGGGGGGCGGTACACGCTCGGGGCACGGGTGCACCCTCGGCCGCCGGCGCTGGGGGGCGGTGCACGCTCAGGGCACGGGCTCACCGTCGGCCGCCGGCGCTGGGGGGCGGTACACGCTCGAGGCACGGGTCCACCCTCGGCCGCCGGCGCTGGGGGGCGGTACACGCTCGGGGCACGGGTGCACCCTCGGCCGCCGGCGCTGGGGGGCGGTACACGCTCAGGGCACGGGCTCACCGTCGGCCGCCGGCGCTGGGGGGCGGTACACGCTCGGGGCACGGGTCCACCCTCGGCCGCCGGCGCTGGGGGGCGGTGCACGCTCAGGGCACGGGCTCATCGCGGGCCGCCGGCGCGGGGGGGCGGTACACGCTTGGGGCATGGGCTCGCCGTCGGCCGCCGGCACTGGGGGGGGGGGGGGGGGCGTGCACGCTCTGGGCACGAGTTCACCGCCGGCCGCCGGCGCTGGGGGGCGGTACACGCTCGGCTGCAGTGGGCCCTACCGGCGCGCGCTGTTTGACGTGTTTGCGTGTGGGGGGGGGGGGGGTCTTAGGTCCCGTTGTTTTGGCCAGAGATGCTCTGTAGACAGATGTAGTCCGTGGATGTAGACAGAGTCCGGTTAGAGCCCGGGAGCTGTTCTTGTTGGTGGCACCCTGCAGCCCATTGCTGGCATTTAAAAATTGTCCTAATACACAGGGAAAGCGCCAAAGTTCACATATTTTCCTTATTTGTATTTTAACAATGTAGTTTTTGTAAGGATTTTCACTGATTACGAGATTGAAGTTACTAACGGTGTTGCTGCATGAAGTGATGCTCAGTATTGCACTGTACTACATTCGGCCCTGAGACCCGTCACTGGCCCAAGTCAGATCAGGCTTTCCCCGCGTGATTTTGGCACAGGACCCATGAGGTCCTGCATGACAGTCCAGCTTCAGCGCCACAGCTGACAGTCCAGCCTCTCAGTCAGGCCTCAGCACCGCTGCTGGCATGGAGCCGCTGCCGGCACTCCAGCCTCTCAGTCAGGCCCGACGCCGTCCGGCCTCTTCCTGACGCAATTCCTTACCCCTAACGCGATTCCGGCGGAATTAGCCAATTGTCGTGCCTGCGATCGCCCGCGGCCGACCTCTGGAGGGGCTGATCTGGTTACGGAGTGGCCACCGCCAGGCCCGGCCAGCCCCCGACCGGCCTCTGAGCAGTCCCGAGCTGGCCTCTGAACATCCTCCTCAGGCCTCAGAACACAGCCTCAGGTCCTTGACCGCCTCTGATCAGCCTCGGACCGGCCCATCAGCTCCTGACCAGCCTCTGACTGGCCTCTGATCACCCTGTGACTGGTCTCTGACCAGCTCCTGGCCGGCCCCTGGCCAGCCTCTGACCAGCCTCTGGCCTGAGACCTCTGATCAGGCCTCAGATCGGCCTGACTCGTCTCATCAGTCCTAGACCAGCTCCCAGGCGTCCCCTGACGTGCGCGGCCGCCTGCGACAGGCGATGGAGGACAACCAGGGCCGGTACGGACCGGAGTGCGACTGGTGGTCGCTGGGCGTCTGCATGTACGAGATGCTGTACGCCGAGACGCCCTTCTACGCCGAGAGCCTGGTGGAGACGTACGGCAAGATTATGAACCACAGCGTAAGTGACTGCTGCTGCCGTCGGCATGTGTGGTGTGCTTGGGAACTGGGAGCCGTGCCTCAGCCTGTGCCATGATTCGTTTGGGTGGATGCTGCCTGTCTGCTATGCAGACGTGAGCGCAGATCGTATGTGAAGCGCTTCAGCTGTGAGCGCGGCGCTAGAACGCGACACGTTTCTCGCTGTTGTCCCCAACGCCGTCGTCCGTGTCCGTGCCACCATCCTGTGTCGCCACCCAGGCCGCTGGGGCGCCGTGACGCTCAGGCCGTGCCCGGATGTGGCCGTCGGCGTGTCGTGCGTGTCCGTGCGTGGTCCGGTGTGTCGGCCGAGGGGCCGCCCGGCGGCGACAGGCCGCGGCCGCACGCCCAGCCGCCTCCCGGGCCGGCAGATCGATGGTCGGCCGGGCGGCCCCGTCAGCGGCGGTCCGGCCGTGCCGCCGGCCGACCGGCGCCGAGGGCTCCCCGCTGGCGGGGCGCGAGCGCCGAGTACCTGGACGGCCGAGTCCGAAGCGACCGGGTCGCCAGCCCGGCGCCCGTCTCAATATTGATGCCCTCGCTATTTGACGAATGGTCCGAGTCACTTACCGCTCGATGTGGTCATGGACCTTGAATAATGCTCGTGTCGCCGCACCGTGGCAGTTGTGACGCTGTCACCTCAAGGCTGGCGCGCGCCCCGCTCGTGTCATCCCGACTAAGATAAATACAAATATCCCGCGCGACCCATTTCTCAGTCAAGCTGGCTTATTTTCTTAACAACACCTCTCATTTGCGGCATTAGAGATTGTCCAGCGATGCCAATTAGTCTCCGTTACCCCCATTTGCTGTGTGACCGGCGCCATCTGGCGGGTTGAGCTGCGGCACTGAGAGGGGCCCGGTGAGATCACCGCCGCTGCGCGCTGGCCTCGTCCCGGCGTGTAAACCCAGCGGCTCTCCGGGGCGGGGCGGAACGACGCTACCCTCAGGTGCGCGCGGCTCGATGGCCGGCGCCGGAGCCGACGGAAGGGAGGACTCACAGGCAAACATCCTCAGATTCCGAAAAATCCTTTGTAGGACGTTACCCGGCCTGGTGATGCTCCTCGTGTTGGTGGCAGTCCGTCCACTGTTGTGCCTCTGTACTAGCGGCGTGCTGTGTAAGCCGCCTGCCTTGTGCACGGGTCTAGCCTTAGGCCCGTTTCGTTGCTAGATCGGCAGTAGAGGGTTTGTCGGGACTGGATTCAGCGGCCAGGGGCGTGTGCTGAGTGTTGGCCACTCGTCCGCTTCAGAACTGCCTGGACTTCCCGGCCGACGTGGATGTCTCGGAGAACGCAAAGGACCTGCTGAAGCGGCTCATCTGCTCCAAGGAGTTCCGGCTCGGACAGAACGGCATCGACGACTTCAAGGTGCCCACCCCACTCCCGTCCATTGGGCCGCGCCGGCGAGCGGCCGTGGCTGCGGCGTTGGTTCACGTGGCGGTCGTTATGAAGGTGTAGCGGCGGTCTCGCAACTCGCCCCGTCTGGCGGCGAGCGGCCGTCGGGCCCGGTGCGGGCCGTGCCCGGTCTGGCGGCGAGCTGCCGTCTGGCCTGGTGCAGGACGCCGCCGGTCTGGTGGTGCGGACCGCACCCGGTCTGGCGGCGTGCTGCCGTCTGGCCTGGTGCAGGACGCCGCCCGGTCTGGCGGTGCGGACCGCGCCCGGTCTGGCGGCGTGCTGCCGTCTGGCCTGGTGCAGGACGCCGCCCGGTCTGGCGGTGCGGACCGCGCCCGGTCTGGCGGCGTGCTGCCGTCTGGCCTGGTGCAGGACGCCGCCCGGTCTGGCGGTGCGGACCGCACCCGGTCTGGCGACGTGCTGCCGTCTGGCCTGGTGCAGGACGCCGCCCGGTCTGGCGGTGCGGACCGCGCCCGGTCTGGCGGCGTGCTGCCGTCTGGCCTGGTGCAGGACGCCACCCGGTCTGGCTGAGAGCTGCCGTCACATCAGCGGTGGGACCTGGTGCGGGACGCCACCCGGTCTGGGTGAGAGCTGCCGTCACATCAGCGGTGGGACCTGGTGCGGGACGCCGCCCGGTCTGGCTGAGAGCTGCCGTCGCATCATCCGTGGGGCCTGGTGTGGGACGCCGCCCGGTCTGGTGGTGCGGACCGCGCCCGGTCTGGCGGCGAGGCGCCCCCGGGCCGGCCGGTCACAGCAGTGTGCTCCCTCTAATCGATACAGTCTGGCCGGTCCCAGCCCCCGAGAGGCGCCGCTGACGCCGGCGGCGGCCGATCGGTTCCCTGAAAACGGCGCTGATCGGCGGGGATAGCGGCAAGTGTTGGGATCAGCCGCTCGGTTCCAGATACAATCGGATGACTAAACCCGCCGTTCCAGCGACAAGGCACGGCGTAGAGCGGTGTCGTCTTGGCAGTTTTGTTCGGTTGCAAAATGATAGGCGTGTATTCTAACCGTTATCTCCAGTTAAATTAACGTAGCTTATTAGCACATACGTAATAAGTAGTATCCATAATTTAAAGTTGTGGTGGAGTAATGCCCATCATCAACGGTGGAGAGTTCATTTGAACGGACCAGTATAAACAGTATACGAGAGCGGAAAATAAATACCACTCATCACGTTAAGCAAGCTCCACGATTGCATTGCCTAACGCTGGTGCGGCTGTCAAGCATCGCCGCTCTATGGGGTCGTTGGCGTGACCCTGCTGCCGTCATCGTACGTCGCGCGGGTAGCCTTGATGCGACTCAAGCGTTGCCGACGTCCTCCGGTCAGCGCCGCGCGACCCCCCGCGCGTCTGACGTCATCCGTGTTTATGCTGGCCCCGAGCGGCCAGTTTCTCGGGTGGAACAGCCGTGGAATGGCCCCTCATCCCGGGAATAGTGTTTGCGTCAACTGCTGGGTACGGAGACCCTGTGGTCCTTGTGATATTCTGGACATGCCTTGCAATGTTCGCATTTTGCCCGCCCCTCCCCACCCCGCCTGAAGGTGGGGCTGGGATTGCGTACCCAGCGAACTCTGTGTGGGCGTTGGCGCCGTTATTGTTGACAAACCCCGCACCTCGACATTTCCCTGGATCTATTTTGGAAGTTATGGCCCGATCGGATATAATCAAAATGTTATCCGGAACAGAACCTGAGTGATTTTTTAAAGGTTTTGTAAAAGGATGACACCGAATGAAAATTTTCATCATGGACAATGATGTAAGCTTTCGTCTTGGCCAGTCATGGGCGGTGGTGGTGCAGGGCATGACGTCACAGCTCACAGCGAGTGTACCTCCGCAATCGGCCGTATGCCCGCGGGGTGAGGTGACTGAGGCGGTCCAGGGCCGCGCCGGTCCGGCAGGAGACGACCCTAAGGCCCGGCCGTATGCCCGCGGGGTGAGGTGACTGAGGCGGTCCAGGGCCGCGCCGGTCCGGCAGGAGACGACCCTAAGGCCCGGCCGTATGCCCGCGGGGTGAGGTGACTGAGGCAGTCCAGGGCCGCGCAGGTCCGGCAGGAGACGACTCTAAGGCCCGTCTCAACGCCAGCCTCCGCCAGCTTAGACCCAGTCCGGCCTGGCGTTAGACTCTGCCAGCTTAGGCCCGGTCTGGCCTGGCGCCAGTCTCTGTCAGCTTAGGTCCGGCGCCAGCCTGTGCCTCGATCAAGCCCAGGCATTGTACGACAATCCATGCAAAATATCTGCATTCGTTGTTTGACTTTGATGGGACTTCGAGAAATGACAGCTGGCTCTTTGTGATGAACTTGTCCAATGAAATGTCATCGGGCTAAAACCCAGCGATCGTTCCCCCCCCCCCCCCCCCCCCCCTCCTCCCCTCCCAACAAAAACCGACGAGCCAAACGTTCGACGCCGACAGTTCAGACGTGGTGACATGCTCAGCCTGGTGGAGCCGCCTCGTGACGTTCGGCCTCGCGACGCCGTCAGCTCCTCATGTATGCGACACTCGATCGCACATCCGCGCCGCGCAGGCAGCCGCGCGCGCGTCCGCTCGTCACCTGCGTGATCGGGCTCACTCCGTGGCGAACCGCTGGCTGGCTGGCTGGGGCGCGGTGAGCGCTCACACCTGGAGTCCGGCCGCTGACCTGCCCCTCTGGCCGCAGAACCACCCGTGGTTCTCCGACATCGAGTGGGAGACGGTGCGCGACTCGACGGCGCCCTACGTGCCCGAGGTCAGCTCGCCCTACGACACGAGCAACTTCGACGTGGACGACCTAGACGTGCGCAGCTCGGAGACGCTGCCGCCGACCACCAACAACTTCTTCACGGCGCTCCACCTGCCGTTCGTCGGCTTCACGTTCACGCAGGGCAGGTGCGCCGCGGTCGGGGCGCGGCCGGCGTTGGGCCGAGGCGGGGGTCGGGGCGGGGCCGGGTCAGGTCAGGTCGAGCAGGTGTCGGGGCGCGGCCAGCGTCAGGTCGAGCCTGTGTCAGTGGCGTGGGCCGCGGCCGAGAGGTGGTGTCGAGCACACAGGTGGCCTGTCGTGTGCCGTGCTGCCGCGGGCGTCTCTCGCCCGTGGACGCCTGACCGCGTGCGCCGCCTCCAGCCGCATCAGCGACAAGAGCTGCCTGATGTCGAGCCTCTCGCCGGAGGAGGCCGACGTGGACGAGCTGTCGCGCGTGGCGTTCGAGCGGCGCATCCACCGGCTGGAGCAGGACAACAAGGACCTCACGCGCCGGCTGGCAGGTACGGCCCGACGGCGGCCAGCTCTCTCTAATGCTTGGGAGACGCGACAGGGTCTGACTCCCGGTCACACTGGTGGTTCCGTGTGGGGCTCTGTGTTGTGCTAACGTCGGTGGCGCCTGTCCAGTGAGTGCCCGCTGCTCGTTCCGGCCAGCTGACCCGCTGGCTGTGGTGCTGTGCTGCCTGGGATTGAGCGTGTCGCCCCGTGTGGACATCGGCGTCGAGCCGCCGTCGTCGCGGACGCGGCCGCTGCACGTGCTCTGGTCAGGCGTGGTCCGTGCCGTGCGTGTCGGTGATTAACGCTGGCGTGGCCCCACGGGCAGACACCACGCGCACGCTGCAGGCGCACGTGCACGGCCCGCTGGCCGAGGGGGCGCCGGCCGCCGCCGCCGCCGCCACTGCTGCGCCCGACTCGGCCGCCCGCCAGGCCGAGCTGGACGCGCTGCACGATCAGCTGCGGCAGCTGCAGGAGCGTAACAAGGGTAGGTCGGCGGCGCGGTCGATGGCACGCGCCACTGGGTTCCCACTCAGCTGTGGAAGCTCATGGCGTGACAGACCGGGAGCGTTATACCCTCTGTGCGGTGCCCTCAGCGTAGGGATGACCGGCTTGGTGCGGTGGTGATTAAACGGCTCCATGTTTTGGTTGCTGGAGGTGTCACTGATAGCCCCTGATTGACTGTAAACAAGTGGCCGTCGGTTGTTATGGTCACCGCCCGATGCCGGCTCTGGCTGCGGGGCGTGACGACAGGCCGCTGCAGATGACCGTGGCCTTCCCGCCGCCGGCGTGGGCCACCAGTGGCCGCCGGCGGCGCACGGGCTCGGCTGGACAGTGTTGACCTGACCCAGTCGGCGAGCCCGCCTTACACCACGAGACGTGACCGTTGTGAGCCTGACCGGAGCGGCATCCGACCGTCAGCTCCTGTGGTCCCTAGGGGACCACTGACATCGGGCTCTGGGAGTCACCGGATCAGCAGTGCTGTCCGTATATGCCGCACCGTTCCGCCGGTGTACTGAACGCCACATGACTCCGTGCGGTTCCCGCCACCTCCGCTGAGGGCCGAGCGCTGGGCGCGTGACCTGGGCGTCGCCGGCCCGTGCAGCGCCGTGTGCCGCCGCCGTTCCGTGCTCGGAGCGTGGCGTGAGCTGACGCGTGGCGGGCCGGCCGTCTCGGCAGAGCTGGACCAGCAGCTGATGGGCGAGCGGCAGCAGACGGCCGACGTGTCGCTGCTGCGTCAGGAGCTTGACACGGCCGAGTCGGAGCACGACAGCCGGCGCCGAGAGCTCGAGCGCACGCTCAAGGTGAGAGCCGCAGACGGCGCGCCTGCGCAGGCGGTGCGTGCCATTCGCAAGACCTGAGGCATCCTTGTCCGTTGTTGCTTCTTTGGCACGGTGGCGTCAGGATGCGGTTGAAGCGCTGCTGGAAGCTGGAGCCCACATTTCAAGGAAGTCAACTCGTGCTGAACCCGCGGTACGGCAGTAGCCGCGCTGGTGTGCCTGTCGATTGGACACCCGTCCCTTCTCGCCGCCGGCGCCTCATGACGCCTGTGTGGTAACACTTACCTTCCCCCCCCCCCCCCCCCCCCCCCTCCCCGCCCCGCCCGTCCCAGGTGATCACGGCCGACCGGGACGGCGCGCAGAAGGAGCTGCTGGAGGCGCAGGAGAAGCTGAAGGGGCAGGGCCGTGAGCTCAGCGACGCGCTCGCCCAACGCAAGTTGGCCATGTCCGAGTACGCCGAAGTCAGCGACAAGTGAGTGATCGGCGGCGTCGGGCGCGCGGCGTGTAGCGGTCCGTGCAGCGGAGCCGCTCTGCTCTGTACGGTTTGTAGCTGCTGGTAAGGGATCAGCTGATATTATCGATCAACACTCGAGCAGGCTGCTTCGTGCACTTTGTCACAGCGATCATATGGATACTTTGTTGTTGCTTTTTGTTTTGTGCACAGCAAAACAGGTAAATGCTGTTTTGTGATGATAGAGTAGAACTGCCTTCTCGGTAACATTGGTGGCGGAGTGGATTGATCTGTTTCATGGTAGGGTGGCGTCGCAGACACGCCTGCTCGCTCTCAACCTGCCCGTGCCCCCGTCATCTCTCCCCGTGCCGCGCACTGAGCTGGGCCGGTCGCGACGCAGACTGTCGGAGCTGCGCGCGCAGAAGCAGAAGCTGTCGCGCCAGGTGCGCGACAAGGAGGAGGAGGTGGAGACGTCGATGCAGAAGCTGGACGCGCTGCGCCAGGACATCCGGCGCGGCGAGAAGCTGCGCCGCGAGCTGGAGACGCGCTGCGAGCAGGCCGAGCAGGAGACGCTGAAGGAGCGCCGGCTGCGACAGCGCAACGAGGAGGCCAGCCGCACGCTGCACGAGGAGCTGGAGGCGTTGCGGCAGCGCAGCTGGGGACCGTCCGGCGCCGCGCCCGACTCCGGCGCGGAGCTGCAGAGGTAGGCGCGCCGGCCGGCGGCCGCAGGGAGGCCAGGGGGCACGTTCCGGACCTTCGTGCCCGGTGGGCGAGGGGCATGGGTGGAGTGTGCAGAAAAGGTCTGGATTGTAAGGTCTGTGGCTGTCATGTTCAGCATATGGCGGCGTGCCGTATTGATGTAGTGGGGTGACCGCGGTGCGCTGGGGAGTCGCCCTGCCGAATACCAGCGTCGCCACGCGATGGCGCGTGTCTGGACTTCACCGCCGTCTCCCGCAGGCTGAAGGCGGAGCTGGAGCGAGCGGAGCTGGAGTCGCGCGAGTCGGCCCACCAGCAGCAGAGCCGCTTCGCCAAGGAGATGGCCGCGCTCAGCGAGCAGCTGACGGACGTGCGCACTGAGCGAGACTCGCTGCGTCAGGAGGTGAGCGGCAGCGCCGGCCGGGCCACCGTCGCTGCCCGGCGGCGGCGGGCTCGGGGCAGGGCCGGGTCTGGCCGACCCGGCAGTGGCCACCGCTGTGCTGGCAGCAGGCCGTGTGTGGCAAAGGTTGGATTGGGACATGCCTGTTAGAATTTGGTCTAGCAGTGTCAGCCGCTGGCTGTGGGCGGCTTCGGGTGTCTGTTTCAGTTATGAGGCCGCACTGCCTGATCGGTGAGGTCAGGGCCGTGGCAAAGGCGGGCGCGCAGCGATCGGGCGTAACTGACTCGCACCTCCGGGCCAGGCGCAGTGTGTGTCACATTGGCGCCCGTGTGCCTCGATTTCTGCGTGCGTTTGGTCTTCGTGCGCTGCCCTCGCGGTCCGTGTCTGCGCCGCCGCTGGGCCTGCCCGTGCCGAGTCATACCAGCCGGGTGTCAAATTCAGGCGGCACACGGCTGTTGCAGATGTGCGCGCTGAAGGAGCGCCAGGAGCAGGTGCGCCACGAGGCGCTCAGCGACACGGACGAGGCGCTGGCCGACCTCAAGCGTCGACACGACCACGAGAAGCTCATCCTGCAGGACGAGAACCAGAAGCTCATCACCGACATCGACCGGGTACGGCCGACGCTGCAGCGGCTCGCCTGTCCTCGTCTCGGCCCGTCAGCAACCCTGTCGGGGTTTGGGCGTGGCCCGGCCGAGTGTTTTTGCATTTCTATAAGAACTAACTTCAGAGCTGGTTTAGTGTTTGGGGCGGACTGATGGTTGAGCCCCGTATCCTGCTTTGGTCCCCGAACCCAGCGTGTCTCGCGCGTCAGTGCCGATGCCGTCATGAGGCCTACCTGGCGTCTTCGGATGTCCGGGCCGCTGCCCGCCCGTCTGACGGCGTCCGTGCCGATGCCCGTCTATCTGACGACGCTCGTTGCCGTTGTTCGTCCGTTTGACGGCGCCCGTGCTGCTGCCCGCCCGTCTGACGGCGCCCGTGCCGATGTCCGTGTGTCTGACGACGCTCGTGCCGCTGCCCGTCCGTCTGACGGCGCCCGTGCCGCTGCCCGGCAGCTGTCGGAGACGCTAGCACGCCTGCAGACCGAGAAGCGACAGCGCGAGGACGAGTACGAGGAGCTGCGCGCCAAGAAGGAGTCCGTGGCCCAGTGGGAGGCGCAGATCTCCGAGATGATCTCCTTGTGAGTGGTGCTGGCCGCGGCGTGGCGGGACGTGCGCTGCCCCCTCCTCCGTCCCTTTCGGCCGAGAATCACCAGGCGTGGGTGTCTGACTGTACCTGTTGACTTCCTGCGGGCGTATCCCTGTCGCCAGTTCTCAGAAGTGGTCTAGATTGTGGGGTGCAAGGTGGGGTGGAGTCATTCACTGTGACACTGGTCTTCATCTGCTGTAACTGTGATTCCTGCAGCTGCGTGCATTTTCTCGCTTTGTCCTGAAAGACTGCTTCATGTTTTTAATCGTTACAAGTTGTTGTCTTTCAAGTAATCTCATGAAATATTATGCAGTACCTGAGGTGCCAGGCGGAGATGGGACAACTTGCGGCCTGCCTCGGGCGTTTTTGTCGCCGTGCCCACGCCGCCGGCCCCTGACACGGTGCGCTCCCGCCGCCGGCAGTGTCAGCCAGGAGAAGGACGCGCGCAGCTACCTGCAGGCGCTGGCCTCCAAGATGACCGAGGAGCTGGAGGTGCTCAAGCTGTCGGGCGTCTCGACGCCGGCCGCCGTACGTACACCTGGGGCGGCGGCCGCGGCGACAGCGCTCGCCCGTCACGCGGCGTCGGCTGGCCGTGGTGGCGCGGGGTTTGTGACTGCTAGAGGTGCGGCCTGAGCAGTTACGTCCACGTGGAACCCAGTGACGACCATGGACATCACTGAATGTTTCTTCTCGCGCTCCTTAGCTGTCGGGAGCTGCTGTTCACCTGGCCTCTGCTTGCACTTGCGTGTTCTTGTGTCCTGTTCCAGCAGCGTTGTTGTTTGGAACGTGTCACGTGCAAACCTCCGCTCTGTCCGTCAGGAGAAGAACTGGCGCAACCGGCGGTCGCAGAAGCTGGACAAGATGGAGCTGCTGACCCTGCAGTCGTCGCTGCAGTCGGAGATCCAGGCCAAGCAGTCTATATCGGGGGAGCTGAGCCAGTGTCGCGCCGAGCTCATCGCAGCGCAAAAGTGAGCGGTCGACCGCGGCCGCGAGCCGGCGCCCGCCCGCCGCTGCGCCGACGAACGACGGGGGTTCCCGCGGGAACAGCGCCGTCCACCTGCCACCCTGTGGCGGGGCGTGTCAAACGCCAACTTTGAGGGCGGATGGGAAAGATACGACTGTAAAGGTCACCACTGGTTGGTATGGTGGGGTGGGGGTGGGGGAGCAACTGCGTAGAAGCGGTGCTGACTTTGCATGTATCTTGGGGGGCACACTCCTTGATAGCCTTTTACCATCTGTGCCAACAAACCACTTGGACGCGTATATGTGTGCGAGTTGGGAGGGGAAGAGGAGGGTTATGTCCACCACAGTGGCAGCCAGACGAATGGGAAGCAGAGCTGCAGGCCTTCTCCACGCCTGTGCGCCCCACGCTCCGCGCCTGCTCCGTGTGATACGCGTGCCATTTTACACGGCGTTTGTGTGTGACGTGATGTGACCTATCCGACTGTAGTGGGCGGCATCGGGCGTGCGCGGCCGCGCCCTGTGTACCAAATGTGACGTGAGCGTGCGGTGTTCGGCCGCAGGGGCCGTTCGGCCCGTGTGGTTCTGCAGTGCTGTGCCGTGTGTCGTGCGGCCGCAGGGGTCGTTCGGCCCTTGTGACACGTGTCGTGCCGTGCCGTGCCGTGTGTCGTGCGGCCGCAGGGCCCGTTCGGCCCTTGTGACACGTGCCGTGCCGTGCCGTGCCGTGCTGTGCCGTGCCGTGCCGTGCCGTGCCGTGCCGTACCGTGTGCCGTGCGGCCGCGGGGCCCGTTCGGTCCGTCTGACGCGTGCCGTACCGTGCCGCGCAGGGCGGTGGGCGAGTACAAGCAGAGTGTGGACCAGCTGGCCCTGGAGAACCGGCGCAAGGACGACCAGCTGCGCGACCTGCAGCAGCGGCTGACCGCCGGCGACGGATGTAAGCGGCCGCCGCCCGGACCTCACGCTCTCACTCGCCCCCCGCTGCTCTCTCTCCAACTCTTGGCGCTCTCTCTGTCTCTGAAGCTCAGCTCCTCTCTTCGGGCTCTGTCGCGTCTGGCTCCCCGACACGGGAGAGCCGTCTGCACCTGGTTCACCAGTTTTTATTAGTTATTTTTGGGGCGGCGACTGCTCTGCCTGAAGGCTTCCCTGCCGGCTTCCAACGCCAGAACAGTAACCGGAGCGGGAAGCGGGCGAAGATGTAAAATTGGATAGGAAAGTGTGGCTCTTATTTTGACATTCTGTTCGTGTATCTTTATGCACACCGTTTCAAAAGCATTGATGTTTATTTATTTCGTTTCAAACGGCCAGTGTGAGCCACGCGCTCATTTAGCTACTCATTTCATTGATGCAATCGGCCAGTGTATATAATTGATTCGTATTCCGTCTGCATTCGTTTTGCGTTTGCTTTTTGCCTTCGCGCCGCTCATATCAGTATCAACTTGCGCTTAGTATGCTTCACAAAGCCATCGTTCTGATGTGCGGGGGTGCCTTGGGTGCGTGTTGCGCGGGTGTGGACGTGGCGCCGCCGGTACGGGCGGCAGGGGGCCGGCATGTCCGCCCCGGCCGCCGTCTGACGCGCCGCTCCTCTGCGGCAGACGGGGTGCCCGTCTTTCTCGGGGTCACCTCATGTCTGTGGGGCCTGCTTGTTCTTCTGGTAAAAATCTATTTCTGACGACGCACGCAGCGGGGACGGCGCGGCGTCCCGGGCCGCAGCTCGCCGCCGCCACCTACCGGGGTAACGTAGCTCGGCCCCGCTTCCGCCTGCCCGCCTGCCTGTCCGCCTGTCTTCTGTCGGTCCGTCGGGCGCCCGCCCCGCCCCGCCCCGCCCTGTGGTGTGCTGTCGCACTGGCCGCCGCCCGCCACGCCCTGTCCGTAGCGCCGCCCGCTGACGCTGGATGGCAGCACTGTGCCCGCACCTCGTCGGCACCGGACGCAGTGGCCGGCTTTGCCGTGGAGTTTGTGTGCGTGCGTGCGTGTGCGTGTGCTGTATTTTTGGGTAGTGGTCGGCACTGTAGTGGGCACGGCGTCGCCGGCACCGGCGCGCCGTAGACACCAGACCGGGCCAGCGCGGCGGCCCCGCCCTCGTGCGCGCCCCGGCTCGAGTCGCCCGGGGACGCGCGTGCCGTGCCGCCCTGTGCCGCCCGGCTCTGAGCTGCCGCTGTCCGTGAATCGCTATGGTCCAGTCCTGCCACCGCCGCCGCTCGCTCGCCGCGCTCAGACGTCCGTCCGACCGCGCTCGGAGCGGCGCCCGAACCCCGGGCGTGCGGCTCGCGCTGGAGCCGTCCGCTCAGGTCCCGCTGCGGGGCCGTGTCCGCCGCGTGTCCGGCCGTGTCCGGCGTGTGACGCAGTGTCCCCGTGTCCGCAGTCCTGGACCGGCCGCCGTCGCAGATGTCGTTTCTAGATCAGTTCCTGAAGGAGCCGCCGCTGCGCCGGTCGGCCGGCGCCGGCGGCAGCGGCAGCGTCGAGAGCGAGGAGGCCGACGTCGAGGACAACCGAGTGCCCAGCATCGCTTCCTCAAAGTCCGAATACAGCATGGTGAGTGGCCCGTGGAGCTCCCGGAGCCTCTCCCTCGCAGTGGTGGCGGTGACGTAGCTCCGCGCCTTGTGCTTTGTCGTCTGAAGAGGCCGGCGCTCGATGTCCTCGGCGCGGTCCTGGCCGCCGGAACGGTGCGCCGGTGGTTTTGTCCGCGCGTGACGCCGTGTGTCCTGGGTACGGGGCGTGACGCTGTGCCGGCCGGCCGACAGGACCAGAGCCCGGCGCACGAGCCGCGCCCTGCGGCCGGCGGCCAGGCGCAACCGCAGCTGGCGCCCAAATACAAGTTCCATCAGTTCCGCGTGCGCACGTTCAGCTCGCCGCTCAAGTGTAACCACTGCACCAGTCTGATGGTGAGTCGGTCCCGCCTGCGGTCCGGAGGTGCGTTGCCCGCAGCCTTTCGGAGGTGTAAGGGCTCTGCCGTAACGAGCAGATGTTCACTGGATGGGTGACAGGATTTCCTCACTGCCTGCCCTGGGCGGCGCGAGACTAAGACGCTTCGTGGTTTGGCTCACTTAAAAGGGCTGGAATGCTGAGCCGGATTGATTGCCGCAGTAATGGAGTCACAGTGTCGTCCGTGCGTCCCACTCCGCAACCCGTGTGCTGCTGCGGGCTGTTGACCGCCGGCGGTATGGCCGTGTGACGGAGCTTCCGCCCGCCGCCGTCAGGTGGGTCTGACGCGCCAGGGCGTGGTGTGCGAGGTGTGCGGCTTCTTCTGCCACATCGGCTGCAAGGAGAAGGTGCCCGCCATCTGCCCGGTGCCGGCCGACCAGAGTGAGTGCCGACCGAGCCGTCGCGCGCCTCGAGCGCTCCCGCCCGGGAGGCGGCGATTTCGGACCGCGGCTTGTGGCGGCTCCGACCTTCTCAGCCTCTCCCGAGTCCGCCACGGCCCTGAGCGTGACGTCTTAGCTGTATAGCACCTCCGTTGTTTTTTTTTTCTGGAGCGGCTGCTGGACCGCTTTGGAGTTGATTGGCTCGCGTTCTGTGCTAAACCACGTCCGCCCGTTAACTGGCTTTTTGCGTGCGTGTGTGTGCTCAGTGTCGGTGTGGTGCTACTGCTGATCGCAGCTAACACACTGACGCCTGTGATTTTTCAGCCAAACGGCCCTTGGGCATTGACCCCACCCGGGGCATAGGTACCGCCTACGAGGGCTATGTCAAGGTGCCCAAGCCAGGAGGAGTCAAGAAGGGCTGGATGAGGCAGTTTGTGGTAGTCTGTGACTTCAAACTGTTCCTCTACGACATCTCGCCAGATAAGTGAGTAAATCAGGCTGCGCGCGCGTGCCACTCCGTCGTATTGCACTGGCCGCCTCTGATTAGAATCGCTCTGACTACTGGATAATGTGCATGCGTAAGCACGATTAAATGTATTGCACAAGCCACTGCTTGGCTGTCTTCAGTGCTTCGCCTTTGAAAACTGCAGGTGTCTGGAAATCGCAGCTTCAGCTGTATTAAGGTGTACGGGTGCTCTGATCCCGACAAGCAGTGTTGGTGTCATGTGCTGCGGGCGAGAGCGGCGCCTCGGAGGCGGCGGCGCCCCACGCCCACCAGCGTCTGACTGGCTCCGGTCCGGCCATTCCCAGGAACGCGCTGCCCAGCGTGTTCGTCTCCCAGGTGCTGGACATGCGGGACGAAAACTTCGAGGTCACGCCCGTCAAGGACAACGATGTGATCCACGCCAACAAACGCGACCTGGCCTGCATATTCCGGGTCAGTCGCCGGTGCGGCGTGGTCTCCTGGCGCCGCCCGCCGGCTGCTGAGCGCTCGCTACCCACCGGGCCTCTGGCGCGCCACCTGGGCCCGGATGGGTCACTGGTGCCGCTTGGCGGCTACTGGGGGCCCACTACTCACGGGCCTCTGGCGCGCCACCTGGGCCCGGATGGGTCACTGGTGCCGCTTGGCGGCTACTGGGGGCCCGCTACTCACGGGCCTCTGACGCGCCACCTGGGCCGGGATGGGTCACTGGTGCCGCCCGCCGGCTACTGAGGGCTCGCTACTCACGGGCCTCTGACGCGCCACCTGGGTCCGGATGGGTCACTGGTGCCGCCCGTCGGCTGCTGGGGGCCCACTACTCACGGGCCTCTGACGCGCCGTCTGGATCCGGATGTGTCACTGGCGCCTCCGTGTTTTGCTAAGTGCATTTGCGTGTATTGTGTCATGCTGAGTAAATGAGCTGGGGGCGCGGTGTGACTGCTTTAGGAGGCCGGAATGTTAAACGTGGTGGCCGAGTATCAAAAATGTGCCTGCAAGACTGTGCTGGATGAGTTCACTACCAGTTAGCGACAGCTACCCTCCCCAAGGAATTTTAATGATGTTTCTTCTCGCCAACACAAACACTCGTCTGACCCGTTGGATGCACTGTGGTCGGTGGCTCCGCGAATGGTCCGGCTCCAGCTGTGAACACAGGCCCGGCCCGCTACGTCACCGAACGACCTCCGCTCGGGTACACCCGGCGGCGGTCCGGCCGTCACGTACTGGCACCGTCTCCCCGCCAGATCACCTCCTTGACGAACCCACCGGGCCTGACAATGACACCATCTCCCCGCCAGATGACCGGGCCTGACACTGACACCGTCTCCCCGCCAGATCACCTCCCTGACGAACCCACCGGGCCTGACAATGACACCATCTCCCCGCCAGATGACCTCCCTGACGAACCCACCGGGCCTGACAATGACACCATCTCCCCGCCAGATCACCTCCCTGACGAACCCACCGGGCCTGACAATGACACCATCTCCCCCGCCAGATCACCTCCCTGACGAACCCACCGGGCCTGACAATGACACCATCTCCCCCGCCAGATCACCTCCCTGACGAACCCACCGCGCCTGACAGTGACACCGTCTCTCCGCCAGATCACCTCCCTGACGAACCCACCGCGCCTGACAGTGACACCGTCTCTCCGCCAGATCACCTCCCTGACGAACCCACCGCGCCTGACAGTGACACCATCTCCCCGCCAGATCACCTCCCTGACGAACCCACCGCGCCTGACAGTGACACCGTCTCTCCGCCAGATCACCTCCCTGACGAACCCACCGCGCCTGACAGTGACACCGTCTCTCCACCAGATCACCTCCCTGACGAACCCACCGCGCCTGACAGTGACACCGTCTCTCCACCAGATCACCTCCCTGACGAACCCACCGCGCCTGACAGTGACACCGTCTCTCCACCAGATCACCTCCCTGACGAACCCACCGCGCCTGACAGTGACACCATCTCCCCGCCAGATCACCGGGCCTGGCACTGACACCGCCTCCCCGCCAGATCACCTCCCTGACGAATCCACCGGGCCTGACACTGACACCGTCTCCCCGCCAGATCACCACCTCCCTGATGGACCCACCGGGCCTGACGCTGACACCGTCTCCCCGCCAGATCACCTCCCTGACGAACCCACCGCGCCTGACAGTGACACCGTCTCTCCGCCAGATCACCTCCCTGACGAACCCACCGCGCCTGACAGTGACACCATCTCCCCGCCAGATCACCTCCCTGACGAACCCACCGCGCCTGACAGTGACACCGTCTCTCCGCCAGATCACCTCCCTGACGAACCCACCGCGCCTGACAGTGACACCGTCTCTCCACCAGATCACCTCCCTGACGAACCCACCGCGCCTGACAGTGACACCATCTCCCCGCCAGATCACCGGGCCTGGCACTGACACCGCCTCCCCCGCCAGATCACCTCCCTGACGAATCCACCGGGCCTGACACTGACACCGTCTCCCCGCCAGATCACCTCCCTGACGAACCCACCAGGCCTGACAATGACACCGTCTCCCCGCCAGATCACCACCCTGACGAATCCACCGGGCCTGACACCGACACCGTCTCCCCGCCAGATCACCTTCCTGACGAACCCACCGGGCCTGACAGTGACACCATCTCCCCCGCCAGATCACCTCCCTGACGAACCCACCGCGCTTGACACTGACACCGTCTCCCCGCCAGATCACCTCCCTGACGAACCCACCGGGCCTGACAGTGACACCATCTCCCCCGCCAGATCACCTCCCTGACGAACCCACCGCGCCTGACACTGACGCCGTCTCCCCGCCAGATCACCTCCCTGACGAATCCACCTGGCCTGACAATGACACCATCTCCTCGCCAGATCACCTCCCTGACGAACCCACCAGGCCTGACAATGACACAGTCTCCTCGCCAGATCACCTCCCTGATGAATCCACCGGGCCTGACGCTGACACCGTCTCCCCGCCAGATCACCACCTCCCTGATGGACCCACCGGGCCTGACAATGACACCGTCTCCCCGCCAGATCACCACCTCCCTGATGGACCCACCGGGCTTGCGCAACCATACGCTGATGCTGGCCGACACGGAGACGGAGAAGACCAAGTGGGTGGTGGCGCTGAACGAGCTTCACCGGATCCTGAGGCGTAACAAGCTGCCGGACCGGGCGGTGTACCGAGCGCGGCAGCTGCTGGACCCTGCGCTGACGCTGATCAAGTCGGCCATGTCGGCGGCCGTCATCGACCCCGACCGGCTGGTGGTCGGCACCGATGAGGCGCTCTACTGCGTCGACCTCGACAGGGAGGGTCAGTCTGCCGCGCGGCCGCCGCCCCCTCCCCCCCCCCCCCCCACACACACACCGAGAGCGAGGGAGCATCGTGACGCTGTCGGCAGGGTAGGGATGTGGGTGTGGTTTGGGCGGCAGGTGGCTGCTTTGGTTTTGGATAGACCTCAACCTACAGTTGCGTAGAAACCAAACGATGTGTACCCTTGTTAACCCAAAGAATGTTAGCCTTTCATATGCATATGATGAGAAAGCGAGGAATGTAGCATGTTTGGTGTGGGCTGTTGTGTTTTTCCCTGTTCCGAACTGAAGGCCGCCCGACTCGTGCTGTTGCCGCCTGAGGGTAGTCCTCTCCCGGCCCTGTACGGAGTCCGTGCTGACCGCTGTTGTCTCCGTGCCTGCCGTTGCGCAGAGATCGCTCGCGTGGGCGACGGCAAGAAGATCTGGCAGCTGGAGTACCTGTCGGACGAGCAGCTGATGGTGGTGCTGGCCGGCAAGCAGCGCCAGCTCCGGCTGGTGCCCGTCCGCGCCTTGGACGCCGACGACGTGGAGTGGACCAAGGTGCGTGCCGCTGTCGCCGGCCGCTGACTCACCAGCTGACGCGCGGCGGCCAACCGGCAGCGCGCCGCCGTGCCGGGCTGGCTGCGTCATTACCAAGTCGGATATGTTTGTGATGAGGTGTGGAGGGGCCCAAGGCGTGCTCCCGGCCGGCTCCTGTGGCGAGCGAGGTGATCCGGCTTCCGAAACGGCGCCGGAGCAGCTGGTCGACTGCCCCCTGCAGTCTTGGGAACGGTAGAAATCGAGCGCATAGTAACACTACCGGACCGCTTCTACGCCCCGTCACCACCGATGGATAAAGACCGCTGCGCTTGCGGCTTTGTGGGCTGGTCTCTAGGCTTCGGTCGTCGTTGGCAGGTTTCCGACACCAAAGGCTGCATCACGTTCGCCACCGGCCTGCTGAAGCAGGGTCCGCAGCCGTCCTACTGCCTGTGCGTGGCTGTGAAGCGACAGGTGAGTGGGTTCAGATCGGCTCCTCCGCCCGGCCTCCGTCCTACTGCCTGTGCGTGGCTGCGAAGCGACAGGTGAGTGGGCTCAGATCGGCTCCTCCGCCCGGCCTCCGTCCTACTGCCTTTGCGTGGCTGCGAAGCGACAGGTGAGTGGGCTCAGATCGGCTCCTCCGCCCGGCCTCCGTCCTACTGCCTTTGCGTGGCTGCGAAGCGACAGGTGAGTGGGCTCAGATCGGCTCCTCCGCCCGGCCTCCGTCCTACTGCCTCTGCGTAGCTGCGAAGCGACAGGTGAGTGGGCTCAGATCGGCTCCTCCGCCCGGCCTCCGTCCTACTGCCTGTGCGTGGCTTCGAAGCGACAGGTGAGTGGGCTCAGATCGGCTCCTCCGCCCGGCCTCCGTCCTACTGCCTCTGCGTGGCTGTGAAGCGACAGGTGAGTGGGCTTAGGTCGGTCCCTCCACCCGGCCTCCGTCGTGCTGACTCGCTCCGATGCCCTGCGCTTCCTTGCTCAGCAGTTCCGATGATGTCGTTGACGTTGGAGCTCTATTGTGAATGTGTACTTGAGCTGATGGAAACAAGCGATGCCAAATAAGCACCGTGCGGTGGCTGTGCATTATGAACTGAACCGGGCTGCGCGCGACGGTTAAAAGCAGCGGTTTGCAACCCTGAGTGGATGTGAACCGCTGTCGTGACGTTACGTGCCGTGACGACCCGTCTGGCGGTCGGCACGCTCCTGGCGCGTCCTCGTCAGCCCCCGTCTCCATGGCTTCTCTGACCGGGCCGCCTGCCGCCGGCGCAGGTGATCATCTACGAGATCAACCGGAACAAGGGCCGGCACCGGCGCGTGCGCGAGATCCTGCTGCCGGCGCAGCCTCAGTGTGTGGACGTGCTGGCCGAGGGCCGGCTGGCGGTGGGCTTCCCGTCCGGCTTCACCATCTACAGCCTGACGGGCGACCAGCACCCGCAGTCGCTGGTGCACCCGGACGGCCAGACGCTCGACTTCCTCGCCCACAACCCCGTGGACGCGCTCTGCTGCATCCAGCTGCCCAGGTACGCCGCAGGCCGGCGCAGGCGCCCGCCCGGCCGCGATCGCACACGTGCATCGCGACGGAGCGGGAGAGCGAGGCTGACGAACGCTGTTTCGCGTTCGTCCGGTCATTTTCCCCTTTCGTTTATGGTGTGTTGTATCGTATGGTATGTTGTATTGTATATTGTTTATCGGTATATTGTATATGAAGTGTTGTATTGTAATGGCATGGTGACGCGCGCTCTCCGCCGCCAGGGGAGAGTACCTGCTCGTGTTCTCCAGTCTGGCCGTGTACGTCGGCATGGACGGCCGCAAGTCGCGCGAGCGCGAGATCCTCTTCCCCGCCATTCCGGTCGCCGTTGGTACGTACAGTGTGGCCGTGCCGTGGCGCGCGTGTCCAGCGTGAGACGGTTGCGGTGCTGACGCCGCGTGTCGGCGGTGTCTGTTGCGGCCACGGTGCGGCTGCGTAGTGGGTGTGTGGGTCAGTTAACGTCCAGTCGTCTGGCCGTGACGGAGGTGTGCAGAGCAGCAGTGAGTGTGGTAATGCTCGTGAAAGTCTGGAGCCGGTTGGTCCCCTGCGCTGACGGGATGAAGTGATTGGCGCCAGCATGGCGAACTAGGTCAGCTCTAACGCTGGTCAGCGTGGTTACGTCCTGTCGTTGAGATGTAGCGCTATGCTTTCAGCAGTTTGTCATGCAGTGTTCTATATTCCGAAATGTATGATGTTGCTACCGTCTGCCCTTGCTTCCGTCGTTAGTGTGCGTGGGAGTGCGTACGTGTGCAATGCAACCCTTTTCGCTGTAGAGTAGCATCGTCTGCTGTAGCAGTGACTCACGGTGTCTCTCCGTAGTGAGCGTCTCGGTGTGTGCTCCGCGCCTCCCGGCTCTACGTGTGTGTGTGACGCCGTGTGTGCGCCCGCCCCGACAGCGCACAGCGACGGCCAGCTCCTAGTCTACAGCGAGACGCAGGTGGACGTGTTCGAGGCCGGCTCTGGCGACTGGGTGCAGACGCTGAACCTGCGGCGGACGCGGCCGCTGGCGCGCCACGGCCTGCTCAGCCTGGCCACCGTCTCCGACCTGCCGCACGTCGTCTACCTGAGCCACATCCACCGCCACCCGCAGCTGGTCAACGTCGAGCCGAGCGGGCCGGGCCGGCCGGCCGGCCGCGCCGCGCGCCGCCGCTTCTCGGTCCGGGAGCACGCCCGCACATCGCGCGCGTGAGTGACGCGCCGCGCCGCGCCGCGACGGCGGGCGCTAGCGATGCGCCAGGCCGATCTGGAGCGCTGTTTGGCTGTTCGTAGTCCGGGGCCGCGCTGTCCCGTCCGGTGGCCTGGCGTCGTAGGTGACTGGCGCGCTGGTGCGCGTACGTCATTTGGCGCTGGATGGTCCAGGACATGATAAGGAGCATCTGGCCACGCACTGGGGCCGAAGGGGCAGTGCCACCTTGCAGGCAGAAACTAACTTAAGTTACTTGGCGAGTTGGTCATGCCCGATCTAGACTGGAACATCACCTCCACATCAGTCCTGATTCGCTCATGGATCATGTACACGGATGTTTCGACGAAATGGGAAACAATGACGGAATGACAAGGTTTGCGATAAGGTGTGCTTGTGTTATACCCATCCGCGACCTGGGTATTTCTAAGCCGATATCCAAAACCAATGCGGCGCATCATGGCGCGGCATGCGCTCCGGTACGGGACGGTGGCCTCGCCTGCCGCCAGCAGCACCGAAGCCGCGCCACCACTCTGGTGGCGAACCTCCCGGACCGCTCGAACCCATTAGCTGGACGCCGAAATATTTTTTGCTGCCCTACTAGAAGCGAGGTGGTGCTGTTGCAGCTTTGACCAGCGTTTGTCGCTTGGAATTTAAGACAGGTGACCTTGCATACGGTATTCTTCGGGTAGTCTAACTTGTAGTGGCACACAAAGTGGCAGCTACCAAGGCACACTTAGTACATAGCATGTTTTCGTAGTGTCCAAAGGTGGCACTTTCCCTTCGATGTAGCGCTGTGCCCTTGTCTGTCTGAGTGCGGAGTGGTCTGTGAAGGGCGATAGGTATCTGTGGGGCCGCTGCCAGTGGAGTCCCGTGACGACATGCACTTACGGTCCACTTCTCACGGGAAACTCTCCAGACTACTGTGAGGCTTGCGGATGCACTCGCCAGGTTATCCGGAAAGACAATTTGTGCGGTACCGCTCCGCGAGGATGTTACGGAAGCTGCTCTGCGGAACGCATTTCACCGTTGTGGCGCCGGGCATTCATAACGCGCTCCCGCAATCAAAATCTTTGGCATTTTGGTCGTTTCGTGGCTTTGTGACCATTGTGAAATGGTGCTCGCAGTATAACACTGGCATGAAGCGATTGCCCTTCCCTTGGCGGTATCGTCCGGGGCCGTGATAGTGATGCGCTCAGTCGCTGCGCCACGCTGACTGCGGCCCACCCGTTTACAGCAGCGCCCACTCGGACCGAGACCGTCGCAGCAAGATGATCTCGCTGCCATCCAACTTCAACCACGTGTCGCACATGGGGCCCGGCGACGGCATCCAGATCCAGCGTCTGATGGATCTGCCCACCACGCTGGAGACGGCCGACCAGGCTCCCCCGGCCGCCGCCGCCGCCGCCGCCGCCGCCGCGGCTGTCGCCCAGCCGCAGGGCATCCAGAGGGTGCGCAGCATGTTCCAGCCGGCGGCTTCGGGCGGCGGCAGCGGCGGCGGCACACGCGGCCGCGGCTCCGAGCCGCCGCGCCGCTCCGTCAGCCACACGCCCGGCCACCCGCCGCCGCCGCTCATCCAGCACCCGGCGCACCTGCACCAGCCGCAGTCGGCCGGGCCGCAGATCTACCAGAACGTGCAGAACGGGCGGCGGCCGGCGCCGCAGGTGCCGCCGCCGGCGCCGCCGGCCGCCGCCGGGCCGGGCCGCGTGCGCTCGCCGGACGCGGCCAGCAGCGGCAGCGGCTCGCTGGCCGACCAGGTGCTGATGTCCGTGCAGCGCCACGACCGGGTCCAGGTGAGCGCGACGTGTGGCTAGCGGCCGGGTCCAGGTGACAGCCGTACGCGGAGAGCGACCGGGCCCAGGTACCAGACCCAGGTGACAGTGGCGCGTGGCGAGCGACCGGAGACAGGTGAGAGCGGCGCGTGGCTAGCGACCGGGCCCAAGTGAGAGTGGTACGTGGCAAACGACCGGGCCCAGGTGGGGGCGGCGCGTGGCAAGCGACTGGGCCCAGGTGAGAGCGGCGCATGGTGAGTCGCAGACGCTGGCCGGCTCGGCAGCTGGCCACTGGTGGCTTGATGGCTGCAGCTCACGTTTTGCTGCACTATCTTTGACAATGAATCGACAGAAATGCAGTCAAGTCGCTCTTTCTGTTGTGACTGTAGTTTTTCATCTCGTGAACATTCAGCGTGCACGCGTAATGCGACGGATATTCATCAACTAGTGCGTGCCGTCCTCCGCACGGTGACTAACGCGACGCGGTGTTGCAGGAGGGCCTGGACGACAGTCCCCGCCACAGCATCGCCTCCAACAACTCCAGCAACCTGAGCTCGCCGCCCAGCCCGGGCCGCGACCGCGGCTCCTCCAGCTATGAGAGCTAGAGCGCCGGCCGCCGCCCCGCGCGCCGCCGCCCACTGCAATATACCGTACTCGGATGGCACGGTTAGTCGTTTGTACAATCCGATAGGCAAGTAGTGGGGCCGCGACGGCCGGGGCGCCCGGCCGCCGCGCTCACGTGCTTCGTCCGGACGCCAGTCGCGCCGGCTGCCCCTCTCGGTCGGGCTTCAGTCCTCCAGATGTACCTCCCGGCCGGCCCAGGCGGCCCGAGCGCCCGCCCGCCCGCCCACCCGCCCTCTCGCTGCGCCTGGATGTGATTTACCATGTACGGTGGACGAACTGCTCGCGTTACGTATCAAACTGTGTATATACGCCTCGGTATCTAGCATTATTGGAAATAATATAGGTATTTATTATGTATGGTTTTCAAATTTTAGTTGCACATCGATATTTTCTACTTAATTTATATGCCTCGTTTTTGGACGCGGTGAGTGCGTGTGTTTCCCAGTGCCCGTATTCTTCTGTGCATGTGAGCGAATGAGTGTTCGCCGAAAGTGCTGTTTGATAGACAATAAAGCATGAAATGGATGTGTCGAGAGTTGCAATGTAAATACAGAATGCGCGAACAATAGGCTTTTCCTCGTCATGGATTTAAACGTTTGGAAAGCTGACGCGCCTCTTGGAGTAGCCCGATGCACAGAGGCACACGGCGACGTGGGCGACGGCCCACGCAAAATTATACGAAAATATGGGGGTGTTCCGGATGTAGGAAAGGAAGTGTGCTGGAACGAAAGTGCGGTCGTTTATAGCGATATGTTGCGGGTCCCTGTCCCCCGCTACGGAAAACAACGCGCGCGAAATAATTCAGACGCAATCCACACACAGGCGCGAACGAAGACGAACGGACCATGACAGGCCTTTTTATCTCGTATGGCTTGGCTCTTGGCTTGGCTATGGCTCGTTTGTGCCGAGTGTCACGCATTACCATACCGCGGCCGACCTTCCATAGGGTGCCGGTAGTGCAATGGCTGAGCTACGCATATGGGAAGCCAGAGGTGCAGGGCCCCATTCGGGTAACTACCCCTCCTGCCGGAACGGGATGCGAAAGACGCCACATCGCCTCAGCAGACGAATTCGTCGCATAGCCCTGGTGACGACATCATTCGCTTCACTCGCGCGCAACCGGACTGGCGCGAGACCTGGCGCGGAATGGCCTTACGGCGCACTGTCGCGGAGCCTCGGCACCATCGGGCGGCACGCGCCAATGCGTGAGCCGGCCCTGCGGGCGCCGTCCACTATGACTCTGACGCTGACCAGAGGAACATCGTACCTATTGTAAGAAGCCTGAATATGTATGTTACTTGAAAACCATGGCAAGAACAGACTCACAGGCTCCTATCAATCTACCGCATTGATTAAGACTAGCAACATTACAAGCTCAGCATAGGCTTGGAGGATGGGCATCATGCTATTTTTGAAAATGGGTATTTATTAGTTAACCATACATACATTTGTAATGTATCAGAATATGCAGCAAACAGACTGAACACCACACAATATCATGGTGGTGCTTTGCCTATGAAAAGAACTTCAAGCAGAGGTTATGCAGGGTACTTGTTTCCATAATGCCAGGGGGCTCATATACAACTCACATTATGTGATGTTGCCAAAACCAGCCCACAAACAGTTTCCAACTGATGAAGGTTGGATGCAACATGAAACACCATTACAAAAGCATCTAAGGCTAGACAACAGCAAGCAGATGCCAAGGCTTAAACACTTTCTGTTCCTTTTGCCCCATATACATGTTATGCCATGATCTCTGGCATCTGGGTACATATTTTCTCTTTTTCTCATACTTCTGTCCCACAGACACATTTCCATCATGCTCTGTCATGCAGATACACTGACCTACACACTGGACTTCCCAAATATATTGTGGCTGGTAATTTACAGTTTAATTAGATCACCTGTGAAGCTCCATGCAGCTTTGAAAAAGTCTAGACCTTTCCTCATTACCCTCATCTGCCAGACTTGTCCATAATGACATTCAAATCCCATCACTCCCATTTTGTCTCAACTATTCATGGCCTAGGAAAGGAATGAGATGGGGTTAGTCAAGCCCACTGGAGATGGCCCCCCCCCCCCCCCCAAGAAGGGCAAAGGTGAGTAGCATACCTCATCTGTGCATAAAGAATAATCTCTGTTGACCTGGCTCAGCACTTAGGCACCAATTCATGAAATATTAAGCCACAATGCACAAATATATGGTTTGCAAACAATGCATGGTATAGCAGCAACATGGCTGTCACCTGAGCCTGGTACTGAAATCTCTCAAAGCACTGCAAGGTCATACTTAAATAATCTGTAAAATACATCCACTGTGTGTTGATACCTAGGTGGTATTGGTGCACCCAACTTACTGGACATGCACATGCAACTCAATGCAGGTAAGGTCATGCTTAATTGTGAAATTACCTTTGCATAGAAATCGGTTTGAAGCCAGTCTGCAAAAAAAACCACCCACAGCACCAGATGCCTACACAACATTGACTAGCTCAACAGCATGTTTGCATGTACCAAACTTGTGGCAGGCCAAATCATGCTGCCATTTCAGATCATAAAAAAATTTGAGCATGTTTGCCAGACATTAATTCTTAACATCACAATTCTTTGAAACAATAGCTCTATTATCAAGTAAGTCTTTGAAAAGTACTACTATTATGCCATATTTCTTTGGTAAATTATGCAATTTTCACAATCTGGGTTGGGGTGTTTTTGCTCGAAATAACCACACCATGCTAATGCCTTGGAACATTAGCTCCCTATGTGCCAAAATTGGTGGGAGCATCAACGCAGATCCACTTCCAGACCACAATGGTCATGGATAATGAGATTTTGCTTGACATGATAATTTTCCGATAATAATGAGATTCTAATCGCGTCTTATATTATTCATATTAACGTCATACGTTCCTCACACAATCTGCACAAATACCCAGCGCAAGTACGGGTAATCAAGTGTCCAACCAACAAACAAACACGCGCCGTTTTCGTTATATGTTCGCCGTGTTTGCCTATGACACTGCCCCCATATCATCCGTCTTTTTATGTTACCTACTAAACTAGTATAAAATTGGTATTATTGCATATTAATAAATTCATAAATATATATTTAACTTAACTGAATTGAGTCTTATTATGTTTTATGTTATAAACTAGTGTCTCAAGCTTAGTTTTCTATCGAAAAATGGGCGTTGTGAAACATTACAAATTTACCAGAAAGAAGCCAACGTATTGGCTAGTCTATATATCTGGAATCTGACACATTAATGAACGACAAAAGACATAGATATATTTTCAAAATATCTTGGACGAATGACTCTATGTTTTTGATGACAAAAATATTCCGGGCACCGTATACAAGGATCGTATAAACTAAGCCCGGCATTTCGTGAAGTTTATTGCTGCCATATCCTAGCAGAAACCAGTCGCAGCTCTTTCTGAGTCATCGAGCGGTCGCTCTCCTCGGTTTGTGTACTGTGTGCTGTGTAGCGCGGTCGGCGGTGGAGCGTTGGTGCTGTGCTATAATCTGAGTATCGGCACAGACGACAGGCATTTGAGGTGTCTAGCTTTCGTTTTTGGTAGAAATGGATTACGAGCGCATGGGCAATCCAACGGCGGCTATGGCCAACCCGAGAGAAGATGCGTCAGATGAAGAGAAGGCATCGGATGCAACCGTACGTAATATTGGATCTGGGGATGCACTGACGCCGGTGGAAGTTAAAGGGGACGGCCATAATGTTGAAGGGAAGGAAGGACATTCGGTGAACCTTTCGGACTTCGATCCTTTTGGCCGGAAGTCACCTGAGTTAGCATTGGCATCTGGACACCTGGCCACGGCACAGCAACAGGACAAGGGAGATGATCCATTTGGTGTACTTGAGCAGCGATCGCGCCGCCGACGCTCTGAAACCAGAAGAAAATGAACCTCATGCCCATTCAGGGCTGGAAGAAAAGAGCGCTTCTCAGTTCGTGAACGATGATCCCGCGCATGATCCAAGGTCCCATGATGAGCGCGCGCAGGAGGAAGGTCATATGTCATCGACACCACCTGATTCTTCTAGTCACGGATATCTGGAGGGCGATGCTGTCATTCCAGTAAGATCAGATTCACCAAAAGAATCCTTTTTTGAATCACCTAGAGAGATGGACACTGTCGCGAAGCAGCCTAGTGGTGTTGAAGTTTTTGAGCCAAGAAATGATTCCGATATTGATCCGAATCCTTACAGCTCCTTTAACGAACCTACCACGAAAGTGGATCCTTCCCCCTTCGACGTGTCCGCGCCATCGCATGCTCCTGTGGTGCCTGAACACACCAGTCATGCCTCGGACCCCTACAGACCTGACCCTGTCGCTCAGTACCAGGATTCAACAGCTGCTTTAAGCGATGCGAAAAAGGTCTCCTCGGACGAGTTGGAGCCGCCGCCTCTGACCCCTGAACCCCAGCCCTCCCCAGCTATCACTGCACACCAGGCGCTGCCTGCGTTCCCAGAGGCGGAAAGCCCCATCATTCTCGAACCCGCTACCAAACCTGACCCCGAATCCGACGAAGAGATCCTCGCCCCCATCAATCCCGACCCGTTCCAGGGCATCCCTCCGACCGAGAAGACGGAGCTGGGCGACTACCGCGCGCCGCGCATCCCTTCGCCGTCATCACTGGAGGCCGAGCCGCCCACGCCCGTGGAGCTCAAGAGTTCCGGCGGCCAGCGCGTGGACGAGCTGCCGCTGGAGTCGCTGCGTGACCGGGACGTGCAGGAGGCGCTGGCATCCGTCATTCCGCCGGCGCCGGACAAGCCGCTGCCGCCGACGCCGGGCGACGAGTCCGCGGCGCCGCCGCCGCCGGCTGGCCGGCTCGGCCTGGGCCGCCGTCTCACCGGTGAGTCGTCGCCACGCCACGTGCCGCTTCGCTGGCCCGGGTAATGTCCCGTCGCCGCCGCCTTTTTTGTCTGGTCGGCCGTCTGCGGCCTCGGCTCGCGGGGAGTCGGTGGCCTCCGCGGCCCGCGGCGATGGGGGCGGGGCGGGGTGCGAGCTGCCGGCGGGTTTCCCAGCTGCGGGGCTGGCGGGCGCGGTTGCTCGTTTTGATCAATACGGCGGCCGGGCCGGATTCACGGCGCCGCCGTCGCCACGGTCGCCGGCGCCGGCCGCCTCGTCACCGCCGGCACGCCCTGTGCCCGTCTGGGACGACAGGTGCTGCCCGACGCCGCCGACCGTGGCGGTGGTGACACGCGGCCGCGGCATGACCGCGCTTGGGCCGGGCATTCGGCATGCGAGTCGGGCGAGGCGCGGCTGCGGGCCCGCTGGGGCCCGGCCGCGGATCGGGCGGGGCGCCTCGTGTTGACCCAGCCGGCCGCCGAGTCCACAGTGTCACCACTGTGCTGCCGTGTCATTTGTTAATGAGTGTTTGCTCGTCTCCTGCGTCATCGTGTCCCATGACGTGTTTTGGCCGCCCCGGTACATAGGGTGTTAGCGAAATGAAAGGCACGGTAGGCATTGGGTAGCCCCGGAGCCAAAGCCGTCAGTCATTCTGGAACGTGGCTACCGGGCATTGCAAAGGCTGTGCTACCGC